TTTTTTTATTGTTTAATAGGTTAATTAAACACGTAACTCTTTTTAAAATTATACATGATAATCGATAGCAAAAGCTTGGTACATCGAGTTGTGTTTTTTTTCTTTCTTTCTCATCAACTCAATGCTAAATCTCTTCATTTGAAAATTGCACCCATTGCATTATTAATGTTATAACATAGGATTCTACAATTCTTTGACATGTTATACAAAATTGATTCTCAACATTATTTTGAGTATACTTCATGAAAAAATAGTCATCCCTCCCCCCCCCCCCCCCCCGAAAGGATGGAGGGGGACCAAGATATGTAACATCACTTGAGCTAGAAATTAATTTTAATATAAGCTATAGTTAGCTAGGTTAATTAAATGTGATTGATGTGTTATATTTTTTAACGTCCAGCAATTTGGCTTTCTTTGTTGACAAAAATCTAATTAAGTTCAATTCAACACTTGCACGAAATCTCTAAGTCTCATACATGTAACATGTTTCATATAGCGGCACCAATAGTCGAAAATTTACTGAAAATAGTATTATTTTACCTTACAAAGATACTTACGTATTCAGATCTCATTTTTAGAATTATACTAAATATTTTTTTATTGTTATTATTGTTGTATAGCGATAGAAGCGCACGTATAGGCAATATTAGGACCGATAGTATAAGACATAGCCGAGATATATAACCTTTTTTTTATATATAAGTTTAGACGTCGCCTCAAAATCAACTTTAGACGTACAAGACTGAAATTAGGAAAAGAAGTTTGAAGTTACAAACTTTATCATATATATGGATATATGAAGTTAGGCATGTCAAAATCAAACTCAAGACAATTTTGTTTTTGTTTTTTTTACTTCCCCTTGCTAGAAATGATGATAAAATAAATTCATATCGGAAGGTCTGATTTGCCATTTACTTCTAAATACACTGAAATCTGACACCATACACATTCATGAGTAGATAAATTTAGATAACTGAGACTCCATATAGCTTAAAGGGGGGGAAATGCTAGTGTCATATTCATAGAATTTGGCAAACAAAAAAAGAAAAAAAATTTGAACAAAGGCTAAAAATCCAATTGTTCTCCAACTAAATTAAATAAGTGGTAAAGGGTCAAAAATGCTGCTGAACTATGTGACGTAGAATTATTTATATCATCTATTAGATTTTAGGATTAAAATTACTTTCGTCATTATCTCAAGAGACCACGAATACCCTTAAGAGTTAACTACCCAAATTTTTAGTGACGTGGCAAGCAATATGGGACTAATTCTTCCACCTAAGCATTGCCAACTAGGATTTACTATAAAAGAACTAGACCTTTAGTGGTGACAAAAGTCACCATAAAATCCCAAAATATTGCCACGAATGATTTTGAGTGATTTTTAGTGGCGACTAAGACTGCAACAACCATTCGCTAGTAAAACCTATTTTTTCAACAAAAGAATATGATAATTAATTTTCGATTGCAACCTAATTTTCTAAAATAAATAACATGCACTATCTATATTAAAATCATCCAATATTATTACTAAAATCATCAAAATTACTTCTCGATTCAAATATTCTACTACATAATGCATCATTGTACATTTTATACATTTACATACATAAAAATAAAATATATAGTGTCTTCAAACTCCTCCTTGATCGATATCATTTGTGATTTTTCAAAAAAAATGAAGAAAAAAAACACAAAATCAGAATTGAATGCTAAAAATCAGGTAGTGGCGAATTATGGGCTTTTGTGGCGACTTATGTCGCCGCTAAAAGTCTAGTTCTTTTATAGTGAATCCTAGTTGGCAATGCTTAGATGGAGGGATTAGTCCCATGTGGCTTGCCACGTCACTAAAAGTTTTGGGTGTTAACTCTTGATGAGGGTATTTGTGGTCTCTTAGGATAACAACGGGGACATTTTTTATCCCAAAATATAACGAAGGGTATAAGTGATCCATTTCGCATAGTTTAGGAGCAATTTTGACCCTTTTCCGTTAAATAAATGGATATGAAGCTTCAAATTTGACATTGAGTTACAAGTTGAGAACTTATAAACTTCAAATTCTGACTTTATCCATGACCCTTGAACATTGTAACAAATTAAATACTAAAGAGGCAATTGTTCTCCATCTCAAAATGAATGCAGAATAGACCTAAAAGAATGATCTACATTTGGGATTGAATGGTTAATGCATATAGAAAATATGTGATGAAAATAAATTTAAGGAACTTCAATATATGATATCTTTAATTATTATATACCACCAACAGATGTAGTGCAGCGGATGAACTACTTCTTTCTTGATCAGAGCTTTCGGGTTTGAGCCTTAGGTATGAAAATATCTTTGATAAGAAGTGTTTTTATCCGAACGAAATCCTATGCGGCACGAATCCAAATTAATTTGATACCAATACGAATACCAAATACCCGTGGGAAACAAAAAAAAATATCTTTAATTTCTTATTTTAATTGTATTTTGCCTTCTTGGTGACATAGATTATATAATATTACAAATTGTTGAATAAGCTTTCATGATATTGCTAGCTAATTGTGAAATTAAATGTTCAATTAAATATGAAATAAAATAATTTTATATTTTATTCCAAAATCGTTATTCCTTATCCTGCGAATCAAGCTCTCCTAAAATAATATTATGTCAAATATATATGAGTAGGGAATTGTAAGTAGCACTATACAACTTTCATTAATAACCAATTATTCGTTCAATTATGATAAAATAAAATAGTGATAGAACATACACCCAAAAATATATATCATATCATATTGAAGAATAAGAAATGATGATGCACCAAATGGATATGTACAAAGTAATGTCAAACTCCAATTTATAATAATTGAAGATTATTATTGAGTTTGATGTTTAATTAATTTGGAAATAGGCAAAGTTTATATGAAATTCTCTTTAATTTGATTGTTGATGTTAATTAAAGTTTATAGTAGCAAGAAATGACGGTTGAAGTAAACAAAACGGAAGAAAAACAAAAGATAAGTTCGCTATAAGGTGGGAGTGATCTTTATGGTGGCAAGAAAAGGAGAGTGACATTGAGATAATTTAAACGTATGAAGAGGAGCTGCATAGATGTCTCAGTAAGAAGGTGTGAAAGATTGAATATGTGGATATAATCATGAGAGGTAGAGGTATAGGACGAAGAATATTGGGAAGAAAGGTATTAGACAAGACATTGGCGCAACTTAATTCAGCTTACCGAGAATATGACCTTAAATAGAAAGGTACGAGGTCGGGTATTTAGGCAGAACATTAGTAGGTAGTTGTGCTTTGACTCGCTTTTTGGCGGGTTTGGACCTGGTGGGATCTAGGGAGCACCAGCCACCATGTATGTCGTAGTATTTTGTTTTATACGTGTATTATCTTTACAGTTATCGTGTTATTTGTTGTTTTTACTATTTCTTTTCTCTGAATTGACTGCTTGTACTGTTTTTCTTATCAATTGACATGTTTCTTTCAAAGAGAAATTCTTTTTTTGTGTATATTTTAATTTGTTAGTTGCACTTGAATGAAGGGACTTTTGGAAACAACATCTCTATCTATCTCTATGACCTAGGAATTAGGTCTACGTACACTATAATATTTCAAACCCCACTTACAAAATTACAATGTGTATATTGTTATTGTATATAGGTGTGTTAGGTGTAAAGGAAAATATATTTCACGATTTTTTTTAGAAAAAATAAAAATTTCTTATTTATTTTCTAGTACTCAGTACGTAAAAAAGATGTATTATTCTAAAAATAGTTATATATAATTTTAAAATATTTTCCTCCGTATCAAACACACCGTTATAATAATAATAATAATAATAATAATAATAATAATAAAAAATAATAAAAAATAAGTGGATGAAAAGGAAAGAAAAAATAAAAAAGGAAGAAAGAAACAAGAATGCCACCTTATGACATTTTCTTTGTTTAATTTTGTTAGCTTCCCATAACTAGTAGAAATCCTAACCAACTAAATTTGCTGATAAGAGGGGGGGAAAGGATAGATACTTATTAACATATCACTTTTTAGAAATATTTTTATGTCATACTAGAGGATATATCAAGAAAAAGGAAAAGAGAATATATATATATATATAGGGGTACGTAGTTCACTGCATAAAATATTTTGATTTTAAATATTATTTGAGAAAGCACCACATTTTTAAAGTGTGATATAGATAACATATACCCACAAAGCACGCATTAATGTAATTGATTCTATAGTTCGAGTTGTAAACTATAAGTCACAACAAGATAATTTTATCATTACTTTAAGAATTTAGAATAAGACTACATTGATATCCCAAAAAATGTAATATAAACACTCTATTCTGACGCATTCACATTCATAGCTGATTTCACAGCTTAAACAAGGAATCATTTATAAGTCATGTGAAAATAATAGTGATTAATTCAAAAGAAAAAATATATAATGAAAATTGAACTCACACTTATTTTATAAGATATTTTCACCAAATACTAGATGTTATAAACTTTGGTATTTTGTTGACATATGACTTGATTTAATACAATGTAGGAGACTAGGGGTAAGGTCTGCATACACTTTATTATGTTCAGATTCTCATCTTTTGAAATCACGTTGAATATATTGTTACTGTTGGCGACTTCATTTAATACATATATATTCATAAAAAAACCTTATTTTTTTGTTTATATTTGTCATTTTGTACAACTCTCATCAACCAGGGGCGGAAGCAGCATATAATGAGGGGATTGGAGAAAAATATTACTATTTATACATGGTTAATATTATTTTTTAGGTATGTATAAATTATAATAGATGTCGAACCCCCTTCCACTAGTTCGTGTGTTTACTTCTCAGATCTTGAACCCCCTTATTAAAATTTCTGGTTCCACCACTGCCATCAACCATTCTAATCAATTCAATTTCTTTAGTAGTAGGACCCTCTTGTAATCTCCTTATATACCCCTCTCTATGTATTCTTCTCCCTTCAATTCACAACAAAGAGTACTAACACTCACTCAACCAAAGTGCCATTAAAACAACTTTTGGATTTTATCCAAACAATTATTATGGAATTTCTTCTTTCTTTACTTCTATTTTTCTTATTCAATTCAAGATTAATCAATGCTCAAGGCCCCCCTTCACCTGGCTACTATCCTAGTTCTAGGGTACAATCTTTAGGATTTAACCAAGGTTTTAGGAACCTTTGGGGTCCTCAACATCAATCATTGGACCAAAGTACCTTAACTATATGGCTTGATAAAAATTCAGGTTTCACTTCTTGTCTTTCTTCTCTCTCTTTTTTTTAGAAGTACGTTTAACGTCTCTCAAGTCGATAGTTAGGCTCTGAGGCCTTACTACCATGGCTACTATCAATCCGAGCCATATGTAATTGTTTAGAATTCTTGAAGGGATTAATGTGTATACATTGATGATATACTGTATCAATATAGTTTAATATGTGATAATACTGACATATAATTATGATATCAATTAAAGGTGGAGTGAGAATTTTCTTTCTAAAAAAGATAGAGTTTTGACTTTCTCTCTCGCTCCGTCTTTGTTATCAATTAATTCTATTATAGATACTTTTCTTTTATTGTAATTATGATGTTCATATCAACTTGCATCGTCACACCTAGACTAATTACATTTTTTTTACTTCCCTTTATTACACATTTGTTTTTAAATTTGTTCTGTATTCTAAATGCAGGAGGAAGTGGTTTTAAATCTCTAAAAAATTATCGTTCTGGTTATTTTGGGACTAATATTAAGCTACAGCCTGGTTTTACTGCTGGAATTATTACTTCTTTTTATGTGAGTATTTAATTTAATTTAATTTATTATTACCCCCTCCCCCCCCCCCTCCCCCCCCAAAAAAAAAAACAATTTTAGTTTTATTGATATATTATTATTATTATTATTATTTTTTTATTTATTTTTTTTTTTTTTGTAGCTTTCAAATAATCAAGATTATCCAGGGAACCATGATGAAATTGATATTGAATTTCTTGGAACAACACCAAACAAGCCATATACTTTACAAACAAATGTGTATATAAGAGGAAGTGGAGATGGAAATATTATTGGAAGAGAAATGAAATTTCATCTTTGGTTTGATCCAACAAAAGATTATCACAATTATGCAATCCTTTGGGACCCCAATGAGATCATGTTAGTATATTCTTTTTAATTTTTTTTTACTTATGGTCTATTTTTTTAGTCTTCTTCATAAATAGTTTAGTGTTGAAAAATATGTTCCTTAAGCAGTTGAACAATTCAAAATATTTTAATGATTATTGAAATCTATGACAGTGTCATACGAGATTCAAATTTGAGAAAAGATGAAACTAAAACATTACAATGTTTTAGATTTTAAATTCTAACAATTAATTATTTTTCAATAGCACTTGAATTTGTGTTTATTGTTTGATTAGAAATGTGAAAATAACATGTCTAAATTGAGTGTAAAAGAAATTTTAGTGCTATAGAAAATCAATCACTTTTTATTTTATATGTTATACCAATATAGAAATTTGTGATTAATTCATAAGTGATCTGTCGGTGTAAAAGATTGTATATTAAACTATAAATATAAATTTAAAAATGTCACAACCATGGGGTCATGAGATAATTCTATATAGTTATGCTATTTTTGTCAAAAAGCATTATTTTTCATTAATGTAACCAACATGACCCCATGTCCAAAAACAACAACAACTACTACCACTTTTATTTTTGTTTTTTTCTCTTATGTATCTTTGCTATTCTTTTTTTAATTTATTTGAATATGACTTTGTAGATTTTTTGTCGATGATGTCCCAATTAGAAGATACCCTAAGAAAAATGATGCAACATTTCCACAAAGACCTATGTATGTATATGGTTCAATTTGGGATGCATCATCATGGGCAACGGAGGAAGGACGAATTAAAGCCGATTATCAATATCAACCGTTCGTTGGAAAATACAGTAATAATTTCAAGCTAGTGGGTTGTGCGGCCTACGAGAGCCCCTCTTGTCGTCGAGCGCCTTCTAGTTCTCCTTCAGGGGGTGGAGGGCTCAGTCGACAACAAATAGAGGCTATGTTGTGGGTGCATAGGAACTATAAGGTGTACGATTATTGTAGGGACCCTAGGAGGGACCATACTCACACACCTGAGTGTTAGTGAGTGAACGATCGTAAAAAAAGAAACTAAATTGCATCGAAGTGATTGTGTGAATATAAGGAAAAAAATTAAGAATAAAAGTAGCCTTGAGATGATCCCATTTGCCATTAATAGTTGCAAAAAGTAGTTGAAGCGTCCAAGGTGTGTTTTTTTATTTTCTTGAAATTTATATAAATGTATTAAAACTGTTTGATTTAAGTTATGGGAAAAATAAGGTCAAGAATATTGAAGAATTATAGAAGTTGATATATCTTGGCCTATTTTCTCAAGAATTGCCTTTTAATTGTATTTTTTCTTTGATCAAAGTGTGTATTTGTTTCTTTATTTGTGATTGTTGAAGAAAAAAAAAAAAATATATATATATTATATAGCCAAAATAAAATCTCTTGAGTGAGTTCATCTTTTTTTCATTTTTCTATATATTTTGTTCGTCCTATTTTAACTATCGTTTTAGCTCTTTTTAAGTTTATTAAGAAAAATAATAAATACAAGGTGTAGTTACTAAGTTATTCCAATTCATTAGTTAATTTATTTTCTTAGAATTGAGTAGCATTAAAATGAACCATCTCTTACTTTATTATATGTCATTTTATAAAGTGACAAATAAAATGGGACGAAAGGAATACTTTATTATAAGAAATCAAAGCTGAAAACCTTTTGCAAATGTCTTGAGACATATACGTCTTACTTTCTCCGGCCTTATGAACTCTGAAACTTTAAGATAATGACTATTTTTTAATTACACGAACTAAAAACATGACCATTTAAAAAATTTACTGATAAAATACTCTCCTCTTAAAGAATATTTATTTTCAAGCTCGACCATAAAACCTTTGAATATGAAGACTGTGAAATTATGATATACAACCTAGATCTATTGTAGCATAGCTCTCACTTCTTTACGATATTTGTTTAAAGGTACTCAATACAGAGTGAGCTATGAGCTTCACGTAAATCTATGATTTTATATACAACAATTAATATATTTATACAATGTATTCATTTTGATCGACAAACTTTCTATTTTGAATTTGCCTTTTTATTCTATCAAAATTAAAGTAAAACTTTAGAATAATGCATGCAATTATGCTAGGTGAGATGTGATGTTGCATATAGTGTATGTTTGCTAGTGACTAGTGATAAAGGTGATAGAGCAACGTGTAACCACACAAATTGTGAAAATGACCATTTTGAAAATGAAATCCATAACCAAAAATTGTGAATATTATATTATTGTTGCTAGTGTTGGTATATGAAGAGACCATCACTCTTGAAAAGGACTACTTTTTAAAACCTTATTCACACAAATTAAAAGTGTACACTTTGACGAATAATGAAAGTTTTGGGCCCAAAGATATATGGACTTGACAAAGCCCATCACTTTCATTTAATAATGCGTAGACCATCTTCAACCTACCTCTATTTTACTCTCTATTCTCTATATTTAGAGAGTAAAATAGAGAATGAGCTCTCCAACCCCCCTCCATATTATTCTCTATCCTCCATTTATAAAGAGGTGAATAGTAGTTCTCCAATTCACCTCTCTATTTCACTTTTTAATTATTTTAATATTATGTCTATTGTATCATTAATTAAGTCTTTATTAATTGTATTTAATTTTCTATATAACATCTAAAAATATATTATTGATAAGTTACTATTATTATCCGAATTAATAATTTTCTATTTTATTTGTTTAAAAATCACTTTAAATATGTAATTTCAAATTATTTTAATATTATTTATATTATATGAGACTGTTAATTAAGTCTTTAATAGTTGAATTATTTTCTAAGTAATATAACATCTAAAAAAACATACTATTGATAAGTATACTATTTTCATCCCGAATTAACAATTTTTCTAATTTTTTTTTATAAAAAAATTGTCACTTTAAATATTTAATTTAAAATTATAATTATTTTTCACTATGAAGAATACACAAAATCTACATGATAATTCAAACAATCTACTTTTATGTTATAGTGATAAATTATTAAACTACACTTTTTAATGAGCATGAAAATATTGTTTGCAATAATTCAAAATGGAATAGGGGAAGTAAATTTGTACACAAAATAATTGGATACAAGATGAAATTGTTAATTTAAACAATTTTTAGCTACACATAAAAAAATATGCTCATTTTGAACTCCGTAATGCATTAATAGAGCATTATGGGAGCAACGTAATAGTCTTGAAAATCGAGTATTTATGTAAAATTTAAAATTAAATTTTATGATAATGCATTTTATATTATGTAATTGTATTTCATTAATTATTATCACTTTTAATTGAATTGTTTGTTAGTATGTATTATACATAATATTTGTTGTAATTTATTTTATTTAAAAATTTAGAATAAAATATAATTTTATATTTAATGAAAATTTTGAAAAGAACAAAATTATATCATACGAAGATTATATAGATTATAGGGTAATTATTTCCAAAAAGAAGAAATGATTTATATTATGAAATAAGAAAATAGAAATAATAATATAATATTGAGGAGAGAGAAAAAAAATCTTTTTTAGAGAGTAAAATAGAGAATTGGGTTGGAGTTGGTTGTCTGAAAAAATAGAGAACTCTATATTTGGAGAGTAAAATAGAGGGTAGGGTTGGAGATGCCCTTACCATATTCGTACTTTTTGTTACTTTGAGGGCCATGATTATTTTAATCATGTAAACTAGTTAAAATGGCAGTTCGGTGGATAAAGTATTCCGCGTTCACGTAAGAGGAAAGAGTCGCACCCTAGCAGGTGATAGATGCGATGTATACCGTCTATCTTAATGCAAACATAAGTAATTGCTTATACGGCTCAAATATGTGAATTATTGATTACATAGATTTAAAATTGTGAAGATGGATTTAAAATTAAACTACTTTGCAATATTTTTTTGTAAAGAATAATTTATGCAAAGTTAATTTTCATTTGTATATTTAAGTTTTTGACCCAACAATACATATTTTCTTCTTTATGTAATCTCATTAAGTGATGATTAACTTTATAAATGAAAATTAACTTTGCATAAATTATTCTTGGGTCAAAAACTTAAATATACAATTTAACTACCTAAATAACCCCTATATAACAATCGTTTAACTTTGCATAACAATAGAATTTTTACAAAACAAAACAAATCAAAAATAAATAATAAATAAATCGATAAATTATAAAACAACAATACACGTTCCTATATTAAATAAAATTTCATTCCTTAAGTTTCTCTTATTTTGTTATTTACCTTCCACAAATCTCTCAATAATTAATCCCTCAATATTTTTATTTCCTTATTTTTCTCCTCTTTTTAAATTTGTTTCTTAAAATATTGAACAAAACAGGTTTTCTTTTTCTCTCTCCACCCTTTTTTTTCTGAATTTTTTCTCTCTCGTTTTCTTAGTTCTCTCTCTTTACGTCTCTTTCTCCTCTCTCTGTTTTTTTTTTTTTACCATTTCTCACCCCATTTTATTTTCTGAAAAATTTCTTTGTTCTTTTTTATTTTCCCCCCTTCAATTTTTTTTTGGTTAAATTATTTTTTATATCAATGTAGATGGAATATATAATCAAAAATTAAATTTATCATCAATGTATGAATTTATTTATTTTAATTTATTTGGTTATAATTTGGTATAATATATTCATTATGGTAAAATTGAATTAGATTAATTTGAACTTGACACCAAAGTTAAATCATATTGTACACCATGTAAATTAGTTTAATGATATTAAAAAGTTGGGATATATATGATTAGATTATGGTGTTACGTACTATAGGGTTGTAACATATAACTAAAATTAACTTTACCATCAATTATAAATCAATATCTTTTATAGTTCTAATCCAAAATATCACCAAAAAATTAACCATGACATACATCAAAGTATATACATTATAACATATTGCAACTTTAAATCAACAAATCACCATTATTTTTTAACCAACAAATCTACCAATTATTTTTAGTTGTTATAGTTATTAAAATTTGAATTTGACACAAAGGTTACACCACATTGTACACAATGTAAATTAGTTTGATGATACTAAAAAGATGGTATATACTTGATTAGATTATGATGCTATGCATTTTATGTTTGGAACATATAACTAAAATAACCTTACCATTAATTATAAATCAAGTTTTTTTTCATTGTTCTAAATCAACATATCACCAAAAAAATTAGTCATACCATACATCAAAGTATATACACTATAACATGTTGCAACTTTGAATCAACAAACCACCATTATTTTTTAACCAACAAATCCACCAATTATTTCAGTTGTTATAGTTATTAAAATTTGAACTTGACACAAAGTTACACCACATTTTACACCATGTAAATTAGTTTGATGATACTAAAAAGTTGATATATACTTGATTAGATTATGGTGTTATGCATTTTAGGGTTGAAACATATAACTAAAATCAACCTTACCATAAATTATAAATCAAGTTTTTTTTTTATTGTTCTAAATCAACATATCGCCAAAAAATTAGTCACACCCTCCATCAAATTGAAATCAACAAAGTACCAATATTTTAACTATATCATCCATTAAAATATATACACTAAAACATACCACATTTAAAAATCAACAAATCTCCAATTATTGTACCAGATTATCTACCAAAGTCTATTCCTTAATACATATCACTATTTAAAATAACATATCATCAATAATTGTACCAAATCGGCCATCAAAGTGTATACACTAAAATATTCCTGTGTTTAAAAATTATTTTAATAATTTATGGACCACATGATACAAATCATATTCATTATAATAATGCGGATCTTCTTCAAATTAACAATTGTAAATTTTGGTGTTGAATAAACAATTGAGCTGTTGACATCGGTATTAGCCTTCATCAAACAAGGACTCTTTCGGGGAGTATTATCAAAAGTAACTTTCGTACTCATAATTGATTTATTCAAGAAGCAAAAAACTTTTTTTTTTTGTATTGTAAGAGATGATTTTGAAAAGAAACAAAGAGATTTTCAAGAAGGAGATACAAACCTTTTCTTGAAAAAGATGGAAAAAAATGTGTGCAACAATGTGTTAATCTCGAGGAAAAAAAGAGTTCATCAATGGTATTTCTTCGTGTAAGGTTAACAAGAGAGAGAAAGTGAGATATTTATTAAAGGAACGTATCCAAATATAATTGTGATTGAGATTCTAAAAATTTAATAAAATAAAAGATAAAATATGACTCCTAAAAATTCAGTCCACTAACCAATAAAATAGGACATAAATCGTGTAGATATTTATATTTTATAATAAATTGTCATAATTGTAATTAAAATATTAATGTTGTAAATAAAAAGAGTAAAATAATATTATGTAAATTAAGGTCTTAAATAGTATATTCTTGTAATTTTAAATTATGCTAATTCGC